TTTTTAATGGACTCTATTTTTTTAGAGCAGTTTTGGGTTCACAGCAAAATCGAGTGGAAAGTACAGAGAGTTCCCATATACCCCCTGCCTCTGCACACGCACAGCCTTCCCCGCTACCAACATGCTATACTGCAGTGGGACATTTGTTACAATTGACGAGCCAACATGGACACATCATTATCAACCAAAGTCCACAGTTTACATTAAGGTTCACTCCTTGTGTTGTACATTCTCTGGGTTTGGACAAATGTATAATGACATGTATACACCATTATAATATCAAACAGAGTAGTTTCACTGCCCTAAAAATCCTGTGCTCCACCTGTTCATCCCTCCCTCCTCCTAACTCCAGGCAACCACTGATCTTCTTGCTGTCTCCTTAGTTTTGCCTTTTCCAGAATATCATAGAGCTGGAATCATACACTATGTAGCCTTTTCAGACTGGCTTCTGTTACTTAGTAATATGCATTTGAGGTTCCTGTATCTTTTCATGGCTTGATAGCGCGTCTCTTTTTAGCACCGAATAATAATCCATTGTCTGGATGTAACAGTTTATTTATCCATTCACCTACTGAAGGACATCTTGGTTGCTTCCAAGTTTTGGCAATGATAAATAAAGCTGCTATTCATGTGCAGGTTCCTTTGCCCACTTCTAAATTGAGTTATTTGTCTTTTTTATTGAGTCATGGTCATTCTTTATACATTCTAAATGCAAATCCCTCATCAGATATATGAGTTGCAAACATTTTCTCCCATGCTTTGGGTTGTCTTTTCACTTTCTTGATGGTATCCTCTGAAGCACAAAAGTTTTTAATTTTGATGTCCAATTTATCTACTTTTGTTGTTACCATTGCTTGTGCTTTTGGTGTCATATTAAAGAAATGATTGCCTAATCTAAGATCATGAAGATTTATACCCATGTTTTCTTCTGAGAATTTTATAGTTTTAGCTCTCACATTTAGGTTTTTGATCCATTTCGAGTTAATTTTTGTATATGGTATGATAGCCTTATCTTTTTATAGATGCAGACTAAAGAATTTAGAGATGAATATGTGGTGACTGTAATTTAAAATACTTCAGAAGAAATGGATGAAGCAACTACGGCAAAATTTTGACAGCTGCTAAATCTAGGTGGCGGGTTTATGGGTATTCATTATACTCTCCTCTCTAAGAAAATTTCTTTTCTTTAAATACTAGAAAATAAAAGGAAAAGATATAGAAATGAAAATCAGAAAAAAAATACTTGATTATGAGTGAAAATGTCACTAATAGAGGAATAAACTTGCATTCATTTTAATTTATATTTTAAAGTAAATTATTTATAAACTTTAGCATTTTATAATTAGTTGTAAATTATTTGCCATACTCCTAATAAAAACACACAATAAAATGGATGCATCAGGGTGTCTTGGCACTGCTCTTAGAAGTCAATATTATAGAGCTTCTCCCTCTAATATGGCAAGGACTAGCCGCTTGCGGCTGTGGTGTACTTGAAATACGGCAAGTTCAAATTGAGATGTGCTTTAGGTGTGAAGTATACATCATATTTTGAAGACTTGGTTTGACAAAAAAGAATGCAAAATATCTCATTAATAATTATTTTTATATTGTTTACATGTAGGGGTGATAATATTTGGGGGTATATTGGGTTAAATAAAGTGTATTATGAAAATAACTTCACTGGTTTCTTTTTATTCTTTTTAAATATGGCTACTAAAAAATGTAAATTACATATGTGGCTTGCATTGTATTTCTTTTGGACAGCACTGTTCTAGAGAGAAAAGGACTGAGCTAGAAAGCCTGAATTCTAGTTTCCTTTCCTGCCTTTTACTAGCCATGTGACTTTGGGCCATTTCTTCCATTTCTCAGACCTAGAATAGTTGGCAATAAATTCATTCAGCAAATATTTAGAGCTCTTACCATATACAAAGGACTCGGCTTAATGATGTGGGGAATGCAAGATGTGAAACTGTTCACAAACTCAAATCAGTGCTTTCTCATTTCAGCCCTATCCATGAGTCAATGAAGATAGAAGTCAACAACGGAACTATCTCATCATTTTTATTTTCTCCACTAACATTTTATCTTAAAATAATGAATATTTTACAATATGTCCGAGATTGGAGATCACATATACATGTAGTATGTGTTCTTTTCATCCTCTGAGTCTTGAGTCTGTGAACATGTATTCAATTTTCGTGGAGGCTCCCTCATCTCCACATTCTGTCCAAGAGGTAAGCGCACTGTGGTAGACTGTTGGTGGATTGGTGGACCTAGTTTACATGTCCTTATATTGTCTCATACCACAGTAATGCTGGTCTCGGCCCAGGACTTGCTTTGGCCAATGGGACATTAGCAAACATGATAAAAGCAGAGGCTTGAGAAACACTTGCTCATTGAGGCTTGTGTTTTTGGAACACTCCTTCTTGGACTCCTGCAGCCATGCTATGAAGGAGCCTGAACAGCCCCGAGGAAAGGCTCACATGGAGGCGGAAAGGGACAGGGGTTCATTCAGACAAGCGGTTCTCAACTTGGGGTGAGTTTACTCCTTAGGGGACATTTGGCAATGTCTGGAGACAGTTTTGGTTGTCACAACTGGTGGGGAGGTGCTACTGGCATCTAGTGGGTAGAGGCCAGGGATGCTGCTCAACATCCTGGGCAGGAGAGCCCCACAAGAGGACAGGACAGCCCCACAACAAAGAGTTACCCAGCCCAAATGTCAGTAGAACCAAGGTTTCCCCACAACCAGGGTCCTATGGGTCAAGGATAAAGGGGCTTGGGAAAGTGTTCACACTTAAAGAAAATCACCTATAGCTGCTCTTTTAAGCCTATACATTTACCAGTGACAGCTTTCTGGGTAGTCTGCTACTCACGACGATTTTAGATGACTCTCATCCATCCCAATGGTACATTTCCCCTTGTTTACCCTCAGCATTTAAGCATAGTAACTCATCAAAGTGTTGAGCCAACAACCATTTTATTAGTTGCCCCAACCCAAATATTGCTTCTCCCTATAGCGTCAAATTCATGGTTTGTGATGATTCGATTCTAGCTTCTAGTTTCCAAATCCCTGACAATGAATTAACATACTTGGAGACCAGGGGCTCTAACTTCTGCTGTTTCATAGAGTCCATCAGTTTTATCAAAGAACTGTGGCCCCACCATGCTAACAAGAAGTCACTTTCCCTCTGAGAAGATGATGTATATGTGTTGTCTATGAGAAAAATTGTAAGGGCATAAAAATTGCAGTAATATTGTTGGTAGTAAATTTTATTAGGCGAGTTTAAAGATAATTACATTAGCAGACTCATTCAATAACAATTTTAGACATATGATTATGAGTATAAATCTCATTGCTATGGTAATTATGGTAATTAACTGGAAAATACATAGATAGTAAATCATTGCAAGAGGGGTTTTATTTTAATTTTTAATAATAGAGCACATACACATCTCCTGGCAGAATGAAAAAGGGGCAGAAATGCTGCGTGAATTGGTGTTTTGGACAACTTTTTGGTAAGCAGGCAGATACAGGAGTTTAAAAGAAACACTATGTGCTAGGCAGTCTAATTTGCAAAATACACGAACACAGATGAAAAATCCCGATGATATGAATAATCCCAATAATGTGAAGTCGGGTTAGAGCAGGCTACAACCCACCTGCAAGTGGCCTTCTCTGTTGACGGAGAGCCAATTCTTGTCAATGTTAGGTAAAACCCAGCCATTTATCTAGCCTGCTTAATCTGTTTCCACTGAGGAGCGTTAAATTGTGACCAATATCACCAGCGCGCGGGGCCTCCATCCTCCTGTAACACAGTCTCTTCCTCTACATTGGCTTTGCGCTCAGAGGTTGACTCTGGGACTGCGTTTGCTTCTTGAAAAAACCTTTTTGCTCCTGTCTGCAGGGAGGGAGGGGAAGACTCCGACTCTCCAGGGATGTGGAGGGCTGAGCTGAGGGCCACCTGGGACAGTTTGTGTTCCTGGGGTCAGGCCTTTGAGAAAAAGACAGGCAGGAGGTTGTGAAGCTGGCCCGAGGACCACCACATCTACCTAAAAATGAGGAATCTGGAGGGGCCTTGGTTTGATCCAACCATCCACGTGTGGTCAGGGCTCAGATAGCCACCAGCAGTGTAGCTTTTTCAAGGACACTGGGCAGTTCTGTAGTTCAGGCATCAGCAAATTTTGACTAAGGACTGGATGGCAAATAATTCAGGCTTTGTGCACCAAGAGGCAAAATGGAGAGGATATTATGTAGGCACTTATATAACAAGAGAGAAAACAAATTTTCACCATGTATTTATTGATGAAATCTAAAATATAATAATAGAGTACAATTTTGCAGTACACACCTATTAATGAGAGGAAAGTTCTTTTTGATGGGGATAATATTTCTCTTAATTGGGGTTCAAAGGTAGTGTAGCTATTATCGCATAGATTGCAAACGTTCATGTGTAAAAACAACGCTTAGCTCTCTGGTACCAACAGGCAGCGCTATGCATCTGGCCCGCGGGCCACAGTTTGCAGACCTTTGTAGTTGGACACCAGTCGTCTGCAATGGGTTTAGGGGTAGTCAGGGTTGGGGAGGTCGCTCCCGTTTGCCAGGCACCTCCATCACCCCTTCCCTCACCCTCCCTCCGTGTCCAGTTAATCTGGTTCATTGGCCCTCCCCCGAGAGGCAGGATAGAAAGGTCAAGACTGGGACCTAGAACTGTCCCACGGAGTAAGGACAACTCTACGCTTCAGGACCGCCCAGGGCCTTTCATCCTACCGCCCCAGGTGTGTGGACAGCCCCTGCCTCCCAGCACACTCCAGCTCTCCTCCACTTCTGCTACCCCTCCCTCTCTCGGTCCTCCAGCTTCTCCTCCCCCCACCTCCCATCCTCTCCCACTCCCCTTCTCCTCCTCACCCCCTCGCCCCCTTGCTCCTCCCTCCCCACTAGCTCCTCCTCCGGGTCACGCCGCTCCGCTTCCTCCCGGCTCCGCTCCTCCCTCAGTCCGGCAGCCGCACTTTCCCGCTCCCGCCCTCCAGCCGCAGCCGCTCGTGCCGCCGCCGCCGCCTCGCGCCCAGCCATGCCGAACATCGTGCTCTTCAGCGGCAGCTCGCACCAGGACCTGTCCCAGCGCGTGGCCGACCGGCTGGGCCTGGAGCTGGGCAAGGTGGTCACCAAGAAGTTCAGCAACCAGGAGACCAGGTGGGGGCCGCGCCGGCGGCCGGGCCGGGCCGGGGAGGGCGCGG